TCCCCCGCTCTCTCTCTCTAAAAAAAAAAAAAATTCTTAAAAGAAATATGAAAGACCTAGTAAAAATTATTTAAAATGTTACTGAAGTATGTAATAGAAGTCTTGAAAGAATAGAAAGATACATCCTGTTCATGAATAAAGAGACTCAAAAAATATTATAAAAATATTGAAGCTTCCTTCCATTAATCTATAAATGAAATATGATACCAATACAAATGCCAAAATAACTTTTTTTTCCCCAAATGGAAAAAATATCATAATACCATGCATGGAAAAATATAAATAAAGTCAAAGTCAAATGAGGATATGGGGGGAAAATACCTGCAAAACAGATGACCAAGAGCTATTTTTTACATATACAGAGTTCCCACAGATCACTCAGAAAAAGAGCAACAACCCAAGAGAAAAATGGACAAAACCTTTTACAGACATCTGAGGAAAGGGAAAACAAATATCATGCAAATAAATGAAAAGATCCTCAACCTTACTTATAAAACAGGTGCAGATTAAACATAACATTTTCACCTATTTGATTGGCAAAGACCAAAATGATAATATGGAAGGTATGGGATAAAGACCCTCACACACTCTCAGTGAGAGTATCAATTGGTGCAACCACCTTGAATAGAGAGTGACAAATTTTCTTTCATATCTCTTTGACTCAAAAGTTTCACTTCTAGAAATTTACCCTATAGATCAACAGTGCCATAGAAATATAATGTGAGCCACAAATGCAAGCCACTTATGCAATTTTAAATTTTCTAGTAACCACGTTAAAAAAGATAAAAGAAACAGTTGAAATTAACAGTAGTATACTTCATACAGCCCAATATAGCCAAAATATTATCATTTCAATATGTAATCAATATAAAATTCATTAAATATTTTACATTCTTTCTTCATACTAAGTCTTTGAAATCTGGTGTGTATTTTACGCTTTCAGTACACCTCAATTCAGACTAGTCATATTTTAAATGTTCAATAGCCATAGGTGGCTAGTGGCTAGGATATTGAACAATGCAAATATAAGATGAAAAGAATAAAAGCAACAGCTAACATTTATTGGGCACTAGGCATTTTTCATGCAATATTTCCTTTAATCCTCACTCTCACCCTATAACCTTGGTTCTATTATTATCCCTAGTATGTTGATGAGGAAACTAAAGCACAGAGAAATGAACTTGCACAGGGTCACAAAGCTCTGAGCGGCACAGACAGGGTTTATTTATTTATTTTTAAAGATTTTATTTATTTATTTGAGAGTAAGCAAGCGAGAGAGCACAAGCAGGGGGAGCAGCAAGGGGAGCGGCAGAGGGAGAGGGAGAAGCAAGCTCCCCACTGAGCAGGGAGCCAGATGCGGGGCTTGATCCCAGAACTCTGGGATCATGACCTGAGCCAAAGACAGACGCTTAACCGAGGCGTCCTACAGATAGGTTTTAAACCCAACCCATAGTCCTAACTACTATTCTATACTTATTATATAAATCTACTTGCACATATGAACGAAGACATATGTAGAAGAACATTCTTTGTAGCACTGTTTATAAGTAGCAGAAAATCAGAAATAAATGAACTGTTCACCAACAGAGGTTTGGTTAAATAAATCAGGATTACGGGGAGGCTGGATGGCTCAGTCGGTTAAATGTCCAACTCTTCATTTCAGCTCAGGTCATGATCTCAGGGTCATAAGACTGAGCCCCATGTGGGGCTCCACGCTCAGTCTGGAGTCTGCTTGAGATTCTCTCTCTCTCTCCCTCTCTCTCTGCCCCTCCTCCCACCCATGTGTTCTCTCCTTGCTGATCAGGGAGCCTGCTTCTCCCTCTTCCTCTGGTTCCTCTCTGCCCTGCTTGTGTTCTCTCTCTCTCAAATACATATTCTTTAAAAAAGATAAATAAAATAAAATAAATCAGGATTTGTTATATAGATTTTTAAAGATGAATGATCCTATCAATTGATTGATTGAGAGAATGATCTCTAAGATTTTTTCATACTGTTGTGTGGAAAATGCAAGGTGCAGAACACTCCATATAGTACTCCACCATTTATGGAAAAAAAATGTGGGAGTGACAAATAGATATATGATTACAAGTGCTGGGGGGTAACTAAAACCAGAAATAGTATTTGCTTCTGAAATGGGGTACGGGGGGTGGGGAAAGGAATGGGAGAGATATTCTTCACTGTTTATATACTATTTAACTTTTATCCTTTTTACCTTGTGCTTATATTTTAAGAAAGAAAAAAAAAAAAACAACCTTTGAGGCTTTCCTATGTGACAAATATGTTTACCAGCAGTGAACATCAAAACAGACTAAGTCCCTTCACCCATGAGTTTATATTGGAGAACAGGGTTGGAGAAGGTCAAACAAACAAGTCAATAAAGAAACAATTCATCCTCAAGATAGCAGATAATCAGAAACAGTGATAAGCTCTGTGAAGGAAATAAACAAGATGATGAGAAAGTCACTGAGGAAAGCCACTTCAGATAAGTGGCCTGGGAAGGTCTCTTCAAGGAAATAACATCTGGGCAGGAACCTGAAGGATGTAAATAAACAAATCTGCAAGATGAAGGCAAGAGCAATGCAAGCAGAGGCAAAACCATTTACAAAGGCTCAGAGATGGGAGAGGGACTGGAGGATGAAGGAACAGGAAGAAGCGGGAGTGTGATAGAACGCAGTGAGGACAGGAATGAATGAAATGAGGTTGGAGAGGTAGGCAGGAGACAGTCCTGTAAACCCGAAAATGGATTTTAGGAAGAACAATGGGAGCGGGGAAGACACAAGCTAGGATGCTGCAGCTCTGACAGAAGATGACAATGCTTTGGAATGGTGGAGGCAGAAGAAGTGAGCAGAAGCAAACACATTCCAACATACCTTTTTTTTGAAGCTAAATGTGATTTGCTTTGTTTTATTAGAAAAAATACTCAGGCAAGGTCTACAATCATCGGTCAATTAAGAATGACTTACAAGAACATGAGGCAATAAAATAAAAAATACAGGTACAAACTATATATCTGAAACACTTCTATTTGGCAATTTTATAACAAATCAAAATTTTAAAAGAACAAAGGAGATTGCAGATTACTTCGTAGATACAGAATAAAGCAATCGATGAAGTGCTTAAGCAAAAGAAAACAAAAAAAAAGTAAAACACACTGCTTTTCTTTTCTTTTCAAAAATAAAATCACATTTGCTACAGATCAAATGGATAATACCCTTATTAAACAACCATTCCAGAATGTCTTCTAGTAGCAGTGCTTTTATTTGCACTTCATTTAATTTTATATGACTCATTTCATGTATACAGCTCTTTACCCCACTGTTAACGAATAAAGTCTCCCATAATTTTTATTCTTTTAAAAATTTTTTAAAGTAAATGAGAAATGACTTATGTATCATGGAACCTTTCCCATTTCCCAACATACCTTTTATTTTATTTTTTTAAAAGATTTTATTTATTTATTTGACAGAGACACAGTGAGAGAGGGAACACAAGCAGCGGGAGTGGGAGAGGGAGAAGCAGGCTTCCCGCCGAGCAGGGAGCCCGATGTGGAGCTCGATCCCAGGACCCTGGGACCATGACCTGAGCCGAAGGGAGATGCCCAACGACTGAGCCACCCAGGCGCCCCCCAACATACATTTTAGATGTAGAATTTGTAGAACCTGTTTGTGGGTTAAATGTTAGGAGCAGAGGAAAAGGAGTGATCGAGAATAACTTTTCGTTTTTGTTTGGGTGGGTGGTAGTGCCAATTTACAGAGACCAGGAAGAATGGGGGAGGAACACATTGGGGTGTGTATGTGAGAGGCTGTGGGGGAATTAAGATCGCTATTCTAGAGACAGTAGCTCTGAAATGTCTGTTAGACATCCCAATGGATATCAAGTAGACACAGCTGGATTTAGGAGTCTGATCTGATGCTCAGAGGAGAGATCTGGGTTGTCAGCTCTCTTTGACAGTCAACTTCTCCTTCCCTGCAATTCTCTTTTTCTCCCTTTGGTTTTGATGGCACTGATCTCTCCTGGTCTTTCTCTATCTCCAGCACTTCTTCTTTCTCCCTTGCCTTAAAGTTGATATTCCCTAGCAATCCCTTTTGGGCTTGTTTTTTACTATCTACTATCTATCTTATCTGATAGATAAGCCACTTATCTGAGTAAAAGACTTCCAAATACCCTTACATGTTCTAATACATATGATGGCCCCCAAATCTGTAACTTCAGCTTAGATTTCTCCCCCAGGCAACAGATCTATGTATCCAGTTGCCTACAGGGTGTTGCTACCTGGTTGACCCACAAATACCTCAAACTTAGTATGTCCCAAACTGAATAATCATTTCTTCTTTGCCTGTGTGCATGGTAACACTACCCATTTAGCTAGCCAGGGCCCAAATCTTAAATTAGTATTAAATATTCTTTTCCCTAGTAAAACAGAGCTCAGTGTACCTGAAAGACCTTCCATACAAGAAGAAAACCAAATATAAGGCCATGCACTCATCACCCAGGAGCTCCAAACACTGGCTCAATAATGTGCTGTATCCTCTGCCATTTTTCACCCTTCTCCACCCTGCTTTCTGCCATGGATGCTGACACATCACATGGATCCTATGGCCAATGGGGCATCCCAGTAGAAGACTGGAGGGAAAGGAGAGTAAGATCAAGGTACTGTTCCTCTGGCTCTCCTCCTGCAAACTCTCATTCTTTAAGTTCACAGTACAATATGATTTTGTTTCTAAAATGGTAGATAGGGTGAATTTGGGGATAGGATAGGGAAATCAAGGGCAGGAAGATGCTAGAAGCAAAAAGACCACCGAAGAGATTTTTCATAGTGTCCATGTTGAGAAGTAATAAGGGTCATTAGGGAAACATCCTTTGAGGGCTGGCTTTCATGTTTTTATCTGCCTGTCCCCAACATCTAAGCCTGCTCCTCAGCGATGAGAATATACTCAGCACACATTATTTAAAAAAATAAGAACTGTGAAATAAGCAAAGATCAGGAGTCTAAGGTTTACCTTGTATCCATTATCTTCTTTGCGGTTGTGAGAAGCAGTAATCATCACACCTGCAACTGCTTTGAGCTCCTGGACTGCATATGGCTGAAAAAAACAGTAACACCATAATTCCATTTTGCTCTCCAGCTACTTACACATTTGACATAAGAATAACCTTGAGTAAATAACAGGAGACGACATTAAGACATAAATAGCCTAAAACTTCAACAATCAACTCCAGATACACTGGGTACGATATAGCTAAAGCCATCTAACTGTTAGGTCACCAATAGCCACCTAACTGATAGACTGAATGGCTTTTTCCTCCTAGTCTAATTTACCTTAGTCCTATAGACTTTTCTTTTTCTTTTGTTTATTTAACAGATATTTAAGGAACACTTACTATATGCCAGACTCTAGAAATATGAGTGATGAATATAATCTTAAAAATGTTAGTGTTGGAAGTTAATTTAGGAATCATCTAATCCATCATATTTTACACATTATAAAATCGTAAGGGAGAAGATTCAAGGGTAGAACAACATAGGTCTACTGACTTCCAATTTGAAGATCTTTATATATACTCCATGACCTTTATAACATAATAGGTCAAGTCACCACCTTCTCTCCCAAAGTTAATTCCCAGGTTGGATTTACCTTTTTCTCTGTAGTAGCTATTATTTGTCAGCCTAGGATATACTCCCTACCCTTCTACCATCACTTCTGATTTCTCTTCTCCTGGCCGTAGGGAACAAAAGATCCAGGTCTGATCAGAGTAACTTATTCCCTTGATGATATGATTCAGAGACTGGCTCATAACCACCCAAGCCTGGTCAGAGTCCTTTCCCAAGATGTTTCTTCCGCAGCCAGTCAAAGAGAATTGCCAAGGAGGACCACTAAAAATATCTTCCCTACATACCAGAGCAAATCTACCTGTAATGAGAGAGGAAGGCCAACACACAGGAATTGATGGTAGTTGAATTTGGCAACCCAATGGCAGAATCCTACAGACATGGTCTAGATTCCTGGAACCTCTCTGTTTTCTGTCATTCATTAGAGCTAATTGCTTAGTGATTCCTTCAATTCTTTGAGCCACTCAACACATTTCCAATGAATCACTAGAATGGTTTATAGAGATATTATCTATTCCTCAAACATTTGAGAAAACTTGCCTATAAAATGATTTGTACCTGCCATTTTTAATTTGAGAAGATTTAAAAAAAAAATACCAGTTGAATTTATTTAATGATTACAGGTCTCTTCGGGTTTTCTATTTCTTATCAGTTTCGATGTATCAATTATTCTAGGAAATTGGCCATTTCATCTCAGCTTTCACATTTATTTGCATTATGTTCAGAATACTGTGGTTTTCTTAATCTCTACTGTATGTATTATGCTCCCTTTTAATTTGTCTTACCTTTTTTTCTTGAGCATCCTTGCCAAAGGTTTGTCTATTTTTATTAGTCTTTCAGTGAGTCAACTTCTGCTTTTAGTCATACCCTGTTTTTAAAATTTTTCTATTTAATTGATTTTTTCCTCAGACCTTCACTATTTTCTTTTACTTTATTTAGATTTAGTCTATTTTGATTATAACATACTAAGCTCGTTATTTTTTCATCTTCCCTTTTTCTAATATGTTAAGGCTATATATTTCCCTTGAAGTAGGGCTTTAGTTATAGTCTATAATTTTTGCTATTTATTATTTTCACTGTGGCTCAGTTTCAAATACAGGTAGTCCTTGCTTTGCAGTTCCAATACACATGAATTTCTGATACCATATTTTAGTTAAATAACACCCAACAACACAGTCTCCCAACAACACATTCAAATTTCAGTTACCATGGTATATTAACTGTGAGAAACTATATCAAGTGCAAACTTGCTACCTCTTCAGTCCACAAATAATATGTATGTATATAAGAGATCCATCATGATCGGTGACCAATCATGTCACTCTGTTAAAGTCTGCCAGTGATCTGTGCATCTGTTATCAGCTCTCAACAGACAGCAAAGCATGTAGTTGTGTTGCCTCCTTAACTCCTGGTGATAAATCCATGGGATAGTTTGCAAAAATGGATAACTATAAGAAGGAACTGGCCAAAAAAGATGACAGTGTAGAAAAGGAACAAAAAGTGACAACAATGGAAGGGAAATTTGAATCAAACATAAATGGAATTACAGAAAAACATAGCTGGGAATGTTGACATAGCTGTCATTCAAGAGACTCTAGATGTGCACCCAGATGAGCTTAGTGTAGGTGAACATATGGATATAAATGAGGAATGTGGTTGGGATGAAAAGGATGAAGATGTCCCAGGGGAAGTGATATTGGCAAAAAAATTTCACATTAAGGAACTCTCAGAGAAAAATCGTAACATTGAAAGTACAGTGGATAAAATATGGGAAGCTGATCCAAACTTATAAGGGAATGTGACAATTCACCAAGACATAGAAAGGATGCTCACTCATATTAAGTTATAAAACAAAAAGCACATACTGTTTATACTTTTTTTTTGTTATAAAGGTATCCTTTCTTTCTTTTTTTTTTTTTAAAGATTTTATTTATTTATTTGACAGAGAGAGAGACAGCGAGAGCAGGAACACAAGCAGGGGGAGTGGGAGAGGGAGAAGCAGGCTTCCCGCTGAGCAGGGAGCCCAATGTGGGACTCGATCCCAGGACCCTGGGATCATGACCTGAGCCGAAGACAGACGCTTAATGACTGAGCCACCCAGGCGCCCCTCTTTTTTTTTTTTTTTAAGATTTTTATTTATTTATTTGACAGAGAGAAACACAGCGAGAGAGGGAACACAAGCAGGGGGAGTGGGAGAGGGAGAAGCAGTGAGCAGGGAGCCCGATGTGGGGCTCGATCCGAGGACCCTGGGATCATGACCCGAGCCGAAGGCAGACGCTTAACGACTGAGCCACCCAGGTGCCCCAAAGGTATACTTTCTCTATCTATCTATCTATCTATCTATCTATCTATCTATCTATCTATCTATCTATCTAATTTCTACACCCAACATGGGGCTCAAACTCACAACCCCAAGATCAAGAGTCATATGCTCTTCCAACTGAGCCAGCTAGATGCCCCTGTCCTGTTCATACTCTTGATAAATTTTTTACCAAGAAATAAAATACTTTATTCTCAATGTTTTTAATGTTTTAATTATAGTGTACTAAATAAGTATTAATTTTACTATTTTTTTCTTTCCCTTAGACATTTTAAACCAAGAATAGGGTATTCTTAATGTTTTGACAAAAAACTTTAAAGTTCACAGAACAGTTGTAATTTTCCCATTGATTATTAAGGATCACTGTGCATGGTTTCAGCTTATAGTTATCTTTACAGTCCAGCAATACCATGCAAAGCAAGGACTGCCTGTAGTTTCTAATCTTCATTATTATATCTTCCTTAATCCAGGAATTACTTATATTTTAAAAATTCCAAACATACGGGGTTTTGTGAGTTTCTTATCTCTGATCTCATTGCATTGAGGTCCAGGACCATGGTTTGACAAGCAGTTCTCTGGTATTTACAGAAATTTCCTTTTTGACCCTGCTTGATAAGAATGAATATCCTACTGAATGCAGTATCTTCACGCACACCCCCCCACTCAGATCAAGCATGCTAATAGTATGTTCAAATCTCTCCTTAGCCATTTTTATCTGCTTGATAAGCCAGTTTCTGAAAGAAGAGTATTAAAATATCAGACCATGACTGTGGACTTGTCATCTTGTTATAGATTAAAATCTTTGGTGGGTCAACACATGCTTGTTGAATGAAAATAAACTCAGAGCAAAATTTGTTTTCCTTCCTTTCGTCCTTCGTATCACTTAATATAGAACTATAAGCATGACAAAGATTTGAATCCCAGTTGAATTAAGAAATCTTTTTAAGAGCAACAAACTGTACAATCAATAACATGTCACACTTACTACAAAAGGTGTAGGAACATATTTTGAAAAAAGGTACACAGGAACATCTTTGGCCAGTAAGACTGCAGCAGTGAGTTTAGCAAGTCTAAAAAAAAAAAAAGAGAGACAGAGATTTCACTTAGTCCTTAGCTTACCATACATTTTAAAACCCAACCCTCCACAAAATAAATGTTTCATATTATAATTGTTCTGAATATGTAGTAGCCTAATACAGCCAATTCTTAAAATCACTGGTTATTTAGGCTTCATGCTCCAACTTAAAAATGTGAAATAAGATTTTTTTAAAAAGGAACTTAATAAGAAATAGAACTGATATTTTAATTTCTTCCTTTTTCCTCCTCCTTTACTAAGAAATAAAACCCGCAAAAGGCAAAAAGAATGGAGGAAAGTGAAATAAGAGACTTTGATCAACAAAAATGCATAATTAAACCCTGAAAAAAAAGTATCACTATCTCATGATTACCTATGTATGAAAATACCCTAAAACTAATTAAATGTGAGTATAATGAGAGAATACAAGCTATACAATCACTCCTACCCAATACGTTGGCCAAAATATTAAAAATCATAACATAAACTATGATGTCATTCTAAATACTAACCCTAAATATTTAAAAATTTTAATCCTGCCTGTAAGAGCTAAAGGTTATAATACAACCTTTAAAATGCTTCTAGTCCGGCTCTAAAATAAACATTAGCATGTGATCACATTTCTATTTGACAGTTTCCTGTTTCAGAAAGCTTACTACTAATTTTTTTTAAGGTTTTATTCCAACCCAACTTAATCTCTCAAACAATTCACACTGTACCTCTGGCTGCTGCAGCTGCTAGTTACTTGACCCCGGGTGTCATACCCAACAACAAAGCCTCTCTGCTTGAAGTCTGAGAAACATCTTTCAAGGTATTTGTACATTCCCTGAAGCAGATAAACACAAAAGATTAGTTCCTGACTAATACCTGCATTTTCCACAACTTAAAATCTATTATTTTTTATGTGTAGTGTGCAGCTTATGGGCTCAAAGGGAACTGGCTTCCGCCTTTATGCTCATGTTTACCAGTGTGGGAACAATACTGTTCAATCCTCAGATGTGAGATGACAAACATTTATTTCCTCCAGTTTCAGACACATTTAATACCACAGAAATATCAATTAAGTAACTATGAAAGCCAATATAATACATAAAACGTTAGGGAAAAAAGAGGGGACAAGAGAGTCAGTGTGCTAAAAACAAATTGTTTGAAGAACCAAAAGAAATCTTGCCTTAAGGCTGTAGACAACAGAATTTTGACCATTTTAGGTCCTGCTAAATCATAACACTGAAGCCAACCAAAAGATTTGACTTGTTTATGACACAAACATTTTTAATCAGCAATATAAACTTTTTTTTTTTTTAAGATTTTATTTATTTATTTGACAGAGAAAGACACAACGAGAGAGGGAACACAAACGGGGAGTGGGAGAGGGAGAAGCAGACTCCCTGCCGAGCAGGGAGCCCGATGCGGGACTCGATCCCGGGACTCCAGGATCATGACCTGAGCCGAAGGCAGTCGCTTAACCAACTGAGCCACCCAGGCGCCCACAACATAAACTTTCATTAGAACATTTCTTTCTGTCCTTCCTTCCTTCCTTCCTTCTTTAAAGATTTTAAGTATCCTCTACACCCAACATGGGGCCGGAACTCCCAACCCCAAGATCAAGAGTGCACGTTCTACCGACTTAGCCAGCCAGGCATCCCATTAGAACATTTCTTTCTTTCTTTTTTTTTTTAAGATTTTATTTATTTATTTGTCAGAGAGAAAGAGAGTGAGCGAGCACAAGCAGGTTCCCCACTGAGCAGGGAGCCCGACGCAGGACTCGATCTCAGAGTCCTGGGATCATGACCTGAGCTGAAGGCAGATGCTCAACTGACTGAGCCACACAGGCATCCCACCCATTAGAACATTTCTATAGATGGCTGATCCCATTTGTAATTCCTTAGTTTTAAAATCTCACAGAAAGAAAATTTCATGAACTAGGAAAATTTGCAGTCAATGGTGACAAAAAAAGAAATGAAGTATTTAATATTGAAATCATCACAAAAATAAACTAGAACCATTTAAGTATCCTATGAATGATTCGCTAACTTTAATAAATGCTTTTATCTCTAAAAATAACACTTCATACTGTAATAGTGCTTTAAAACCACTTTCACAAATGTTGCCACATTTAATCCTTACAACCCTGAAAAGAAAAATGAAGATACTTTTTCTATTTTTGTCTGTCCTTCAACATCTTTTCAAAAAAAGAGTAGCATAAGATTGAAGCTCCACTTAATGACTTGCCCAAGGCCATTCATTCAACTAAAACTAAATTACTCTAATTTATTGAAGACCTACTGTATGTCAGGCACTGCTAAGACACTATGTGGCAGCACCAGATGAGGCCCTAGTGACTTTCGGACCCCTCTTTCATGGCTCTTTCAAATATAATTGTTCTTTCCAACCTGCTCCTGAAAGAGAACTTCAACCACCTCCATTTTGGCCTTCATCTGTACTATCTAAGCTCTTCTTTCCAGCTTATCTCTTAAATCAGGCAAAAGACCCGGTTGGCAAAGCATCCTGTGATGGGAACCAAAACTACCTACCCCTCCAATAATGTCAGCAAGACCCTTCATGAGGGACCCCAGGACAATGACTAACCTGACCTTTATTGCCGACCTGCACATACCCACTACTTTTGTCCTACACTTTCCTTATATAAACTTAGAAGTTTTTTGGGGCACTTTGGAGACAGTCTTTGAGATTTTTTTTTTTTAATTTTATTTATTTATTCATGAGAGACAGAGAGAGAGAGAGAGAGAGAGAGAGGCAGAGGGAGAAGCAGGCTCCCCGCAGAGCAGGGAGCCCAATGCGGGACTTGATCCCAGGACCCTGAGATCATGACCTGAGCCGAAGGCAGACGCTTAACCATCTGAGCCACCCAGGCGCCCGACAGTCTTTGAGATGTTAAGTCCACTGTCTTCCCGGTATTGGCCTCACTGAAATAAATTCCTTTCTTGTTTCACCGCCACTGTTTCTCTGCCTTTGGATTTTGTCAGCAGCAAGTGGCCGAACTTGGGCTGCTTAGGATCCCCAGTCAGGTGCTCTTGCACCTCTGTACTCTGGTTATGAGCTCCCTATGAGTGTGTGTGTGTGCGAGTGTGGGTATGTGCACGTGCACACATGCTTAATATAGCCCACATTGGTCAGTTTCACCAATTTATTTGTTTCTAAAGATGATGCTGTCCTAAAATCTCACAGAACTTCCTACTATTATCTGGTATAAAAATCTACCTTATCTTATCCCCGTGTACCTAGATTCTGAAAAGGGCTAGGGCTTAAGAATCAGATTCCATTAGGCTTTTCCTCTTCACACAGTGGAATCTCAACTCCAGTAAAAATTTACATTTCCATAGAAATTGACTTTCAAACACCTCCTCCAATCCTTTTTGTAAAGTCAAGGAATCTTCCTTTAAAATGAAAACTTACAAGGAAACGACGAATTTATTAAAAAGAGTGACCTGATGCATCTCTGGATGAGGAAAAGAAAGGGGGCAGGGGTACAGAAGTGGCAGGTATCCTACCTATTCAGTCATCTTGTTGTCCCTTTTTCCCCATCCCCTGCATTAGCCTTTGCCTTTAGAGAATTCCCTCAGAATAAGGCTAAGGATGATTTACTGTTTGGCACTATTGATTAGAATTATATCTACTGAGCAATTCTCTAGTCCAGAACTATTTTTAGTATATGCTAAATGAATTTTAGCCTCAAAGAATAGTTCTCCTTGAATCAGTGGGAATGATTCACTAGAAAAAGAAGTAATCTGTTTCTAAGAGAAATAAATTGTATCATATCATACACTGTCTTAAAGAACTCTCATGGACTATAGGAAACAAACAGAGGGTTGCTAGAGGAGAGATGGGTGGGGGGGGCAGGTAACTGGGTGATGGGCATTAAAGAAGGCATGTGATGAGCACTGGGTGTTATATGCAACTGACAAATTATTGAACTCTACATCTGAAACTAAGGATGTACTCTATGTTGACTAGTTGAATTTAAATTAAAAAAAAAGAACTCTCATGGATATGAACACTGTCTTAAAGAACTCTTGTGCATATGGAAAACCACATCAAAGAGAAATATTTTCAACTACATTTTCCAAATACTCTGGTTAACCTTTATCAATGGCCATATACCAAAATGAATAATTCTCTTTTTTCTAAGTTTGTTTTTTGTATTAATTGGAAATGTCAATATCCATTTCCTGATTTCAAACACAAAGTAACATTGTCAAGAGTTTGACAATGGTCACCAAAAGGACTCTTAATCAGAAAGTTAGTCTATAACCTTGAAGATACACAAATGACTTCTAAGATAAATCTTGTGCAAGACCAAAGGTCAGCATTTATTCTACATTTTTTATTTACAAGAAAGTACCTTCCTAGATATAAAGTTTGGGTTTTTTTCTTGTTGTTTTTTTTTTAGAAAGGCACAACCTAATTTAAAAAGCCAAAAAATAGTGTGATAAAAAGTATACATATAGTACTTTGTAATACGTACCTGTGTTGACTGTATTACTGTAAGGTCATTAATATAGCAAAATCCTGCCCCCATAGCAGAACGAAGTCCTGCAGTCCCAAAAGTCATTCGGCAACAAAGACGATCTCGCAGCTCCTTGTTCATCCCATTCCGTAACAGATTTTCAATCTGCTCTTTTGTTTTGGGATTCTATAAAAAAGTATTAAGACTTAATCAGGATCACAAGCAGGGTCCTAATATGAAGCCCTTCTGAGGAGCCAGTAAGTATTACACATATATCACAAGGTTCTAGACACATTATAAATTCCACAGTGCTACTGATCAATATTAGTATGTATAATAAAACAATACTGGCCATTTACTGAGTCCCCCAAGGAGTCAGGCCCTTACTGGAGTCCATTTACATATCTCTAATCGTCATAGCATATTTTGTAACAATATTCAAGAATTTTTTTTAACAAATTGATAAACTTAAGAGCTATGGATCCAAAATAAGCCTCTTAGTCAAAAAAGAACATTAATTAGAGTCTATATTAAGTTTTAAAAGAAATATGGAAGCTATTGGGCAAAAGCCATCAACACATGCTGACCAACTACTTCCTAAATCTCTGTGATTCAAAGTGACCAGATAAGCCTTCCTGCTCTTTAAAGTCACAGAAAACCACGTGACCATAAAATGGTCTTAGATATTAAATGTGGACTTAGCTAAAAATGACAATGAAAATTCAGTCCAAACTTGGCTTGCCAAGCAGGACACACCAACACCTATATTTTAAGATTCTGTGTTTCATTATCACATCTTTTACCTTATTTTCATAAAGCTCAAGGATGCCCCTGACTGAAATAGTACTTCACAAACAATTAACAAACTTCAAATAGAAATGCAATAAAAATTAGAATAAAACTTGAATGGAATTTTCCAGTATTTTCTTTTCAAGAGTAAGAATCAAATACTACGAAAATAAAGTGAACCACAACTTCTCCCTTCCATTATATATATATAGTATAGATTTAGTCCATACTAAGAGCTTAGATCTTCTACATCTATAGCCTATACAATGATAATGAATATTCAGAATGATAAACCAAGGCACCTACAAGGTGTTAAATATTAGAGTATATTTGTACTTGCAAAGAAATAAAAACATATTAATATATATTTAAACAAAAAGGTTTTCTGGTTATAGTGGAATTAAAGTAACCAGAGTACATGCCACAAACTAATGAGAAGCCATGGAAATTCTGATTAACTGAAATTGTAATCTGCTAAAAATGGATAGAGTGTAAAAAAATATATATATATATACACACACATATATATGCCATATACATATATAAAATATACATATAAAACCTTGACTCAAGGAATCTTTTTTTTTTTTTAAAGATTTTACTTATTTATTCATGACAGACAGAGAGAGAGAGAGAGGCAGAGGGAGAAGCAGGCTCCCAAGGAGCAGGGAGCCCGATGCAGGACTCAATCCCAGGACCCTGGGATCATGACCTGAGCTGAAGGCAGACGCTTAACCATCTGAGCCACCCAGGCGCCCTCAAGGAATCTCTTTTATAAATGGCACACACTAACAAATACATAGCCTACATAAAAATATGAATAGCTCTTTTTAAAAAAAGATTTTATTTATGTGAGAGAAAGAGAGCCATGTGCACGAGTGGGGGAGGGGCAGAGGGAAAGAGAGAAGCAGACTCCCCACTGAGCAGGGAGCCCCACACAGAGCTCCGTTCCAGGACCCTGGGATCATGACCTGAGCAGAAGGCAGATGCTGAACCAAGTGAGCCACCCAGGTGCCCCAAAATATGAATAGCTATTAAGAGAAGAATCTAAACAATAAGATGACCTGGGCTACTATATATTATTCTAATGTCTAAGATACCACCAGATTTGATACAGAGGTCAAAGAGACTAGAAGAGGGCTAACATTTAAAAACAAGTATAAGAATGGCAAAAATTGAAGACTAAAAAAACCTCCATTCTGTAGAGGGTACATGGCAGTGTCATATGGTTAGTGACACTGAAATTGGGATAGTCCTGGGGCACCTGGCTGGCTTAGTCAGAAGAGCATGCGACTCTTGATCTCGGGGTCATGAGTTTGAGACCCACACTGGATGTAGAGATTACTAAAATTAAATAAATAAATTTTATTTAAAAAAAAAAGAAATTGGGATAGTCTTTTTAGAGTTTCAGCCACTATCAAAATTTAAACTGCATATGTCTTTTGGCCCATAAATTTCTCTGTCCACAGCAATATCTTCACCCAAACAAAAAAAGATTTATTCATACAAGAATGTTGATTGCAGCATTTTACTGGTAGTAGTAGTATCACCATTGTATTGATAAAGAACCTAAGATTTAGAAGGGAGACTAGTAACACAGAGCTAATATTAGAGGTCTAGACAGGATTTGAATCCAGGTTGGTCTGGCTCTAAATCCTATACCATCTCACTACAAACAACAAAATAATTATGTAGGGCAGGCTAATAATGCTTCTAATAATAAACTCCAACTGTAAAGTAAAACATTATTCCTTTTGATTACAGCTAAATAAAAATGATCTACCAGACATGAATACTATTAGGTTACTGAGTACTTCCTAATGTTTAACTGTAGAGCTAGTAGAGTAGGACCTAAAAATTCCATTCTCTGTTATAAACATCACAGCTAGTCCTAACCTAATTCCTGGTTCTGAAAAAGCCTATAAATTAGAGAAAAACAAAAATGGATTAAAAATCATGATGCATTAGACATAAGTATATTTTTATGGTAAACAGTGCTAAGTGATTATAGTGACAGGCATATGAAATCTACTTTAAACTTAGATTTCTCCACTATTTTATAGGTAGACATTAAATTAGATATTGATGTCACAAATGTTTTAAAATATACCTAAAGGGCTATCTACGTAGCCATGATTACCATATATTTTCTATTTAGATGAAATTGAATTTGTATTTTCTTGTTAAAACCTTCAAATGACTATGATTTTTATAAGCTATCATATATGAAGATTCTAAAGAACTACAAATTATTTTTTAAATACTATTTCCACATAGAACTCAGATGTATTAAATGAAAAGCAGAAACATATATAATGTGTTTTAATTTGTGTAAAAAGAGGCATGTGTATACTTATATATCATTCCAGAAATTATCCTTGCAAATATGAGAGACTAAAAATAGTGATTATCTCTGATGAGGAAACCAGGATTGAGGTCTGAGGTAGAAAAGTGACTTATTTTTATTGTACAGCCTTGGTACTGTTTGGATATTTTATGAATGTATTACTTATTTTATGGTAAAAATTAGGTAAATATCTATGATGGCTGAGAAAAACTATTATTTGTGTGTCTACATGAATACTTTTTACTTCACAAATTGTTCTTTTTAGAACAGCACTCACAGAAGGCTATTAATAAAACATATAGTGGAGCTTTCTCAAATACAAATTATTGTTCACTTAATAAATGTGTTCTCTTCAAAAAAAACAAAAGAAAACAAAAAACAAAATAAATGTGCTCTCTTATTTATAATGCACTCATTACTTGAGGATAGGAGCAGCCTAATCAGCCAAAAAAGAAATAATTGGTTCAACTGGTGTCAACTATAAAGAAAGCACCTCTAAAATTATACTGTAAGTCTGTGGAGAAGTTATATGATTTACATACTTTTTGGTAATGCACTTATTGATCTACTATATAAAATGAAAATTAATTATTTAGAAAGTAAATGCTTTCAATCTGAACTAAATTTGCTCTTAACTAGTATACTTTAGAATCCTAATAATTTTATTACCCCAAAAAAGTAATCCTGCAGAAAATCCAAAAAGATTTTAGTGACTGCTAGCATTTTCTATACTTCATCAGGAATAAAGCTGATTGTTTAGTAGGAAATCAGTAAGCTAAAGATACAGAATTAAAGCCATGCATTATTTTCAAATTTTACCTGTTTACCCAAAATTTTCCTTTAGGTTCTAATCCTATGGATTGCTGCAACTTTATATGGCTGAAATGAAGAAAAGAAAGTGTCTTCTTACCTAGTACTCTGTAGAGTTTTGTTTTTTCCATAGTGTAGGTCCATAAGGTCCAAATTCAAAGAAAACATAAAAGAACTGATTTACCAAAAAAAACCCCCAAAACCAAAAAAACTTCTAACAAACTTCTTACAAACTCTCATAAATGTGAATAAAGCTATATACCAGACCAAACTCACTCCAACTCTGCCTGCATGAAATGAAAGTACTAGTACTCACTTACGAAGGATTATTTTGGACTCACCCAAGCTTTTCTGAACCTATTCAGCTCATAATTAGGGGGTTTCTGTATTATTTATGTGTAATAAATGTAAATGTATATAAAAGTATGTGAAAGTAATTAATCATCATTTTATAAAACAAATCAAGTTTGTCAATGAAGAATTCACCTATAAATCTTCTTTCCTACTTCTTTTATAAACCTAATATTTGTATAATTTTTATACAACTTGAATCTACTCTATTAATATTCTAGTACTAAACCTAACAGCATAAAAACAATTTAAAATGTGACCTTCATTGTTTAGAAGATTAGACCAGATCTAAAAGAACATAATATATATTCGCAATCCAAATCCTAATATTGTTATATATCTAAAGATGAGGCAATATACAAAACTGACTTTTTAGTGGCTCAAATATATCTAAAATTGCCAAGCTGCAAACATTTAAAAATGTTATTGACAGAGGCTGGTGTCTAAACAATAAATACCAGTTTTATATAACTACAGAGAAAAAAACTTTTTCTAAAAAAAACTTCTGTTTTTTCTAAACAGAAGTTAAAATAGGAAATGGCAGTCTGAAAATCTGAAGGGCAAACATTTACTTCTGAGGGTCAGCCAGCTTGAAGAGCCAAATCTAGAGACCTGAAGCAGAACATGTTTTCCCAACCAGATGCTTCCTTACTGAGTCCAAAATATACTCTTGCTGACCAATAATTTTTTCCCATTAAAGGGTCTTTGTGTAATTACAAATTTTATTTCTCAATCTTTAAAATTTCTTTTTCATACAGAAGTATAGTTGACATACAACATTGTATTAGTTTTAAGTAAAAACAGTGATTTGATAATTCAATAGATTACACAATACTCACTATGATAAATGTAGTTATACCATCTGTCACCGTATGTTAATACAATACAA